CACTTGGCATGTTCTCTGCAAACATGCACACTACAGCTGGACTGCGAGCACACTGATCCAATTACACCGCCGTGCTGCGCTGTCTTTATATTTGTGTGGTCGACACAAAGTCCTAATCGCATCACGTACAGTGTCTGTGCAGTGGGTGATAATATATTGAGTTTCAGGTTTATGTGCTAATGTTAACACTGAGCCTCCCCTGGGGCTGCAACACGCTGTGCTTCCAGCTCTGTACTGTTTGGCCCTCAGTGCTCTTTTAGCCCCGGTGCATTATGGGTATCCCAGACTGCAGAGATCTACCGCACAGTGGGTTTGGAATGGTGCCGGTAGCCTTGGGTTTGTGTGGAAAAGCGTCTGTGTGTGTGTGTGTATATGTGTGTGTATTGACTTCACATTGCAGCTGCATGAAGAGGATGCTACATGATTGATGGCTTGCTGTTGGGAGCAGTTGTGCATGGAGTGGGTATGTTTTGATATGACTTTCATATCACTTTCATTGATGTCATTATGAGGTCTTTGTTACAATTATTGGAGCGTCACATCAGATGCATCAGACGCTGGCGGATCACGCTGTTAAGAGAGCTCCTCGTCAGCATTATGAGATTCATGTTTGTGTAGGTGGTGGAATGAACTAATTATTGAGTGGCTTTGGGCACCGGGACCAACTGTAACCGGAAGGATTCTTTAGTTGTATATTTATGAAATTCATGCTTTTACTGTTGTCTTGCTTTGGTGCGAGTTTCATGGGAAGCATAAAACTGATTTTATTTCTTACAAAGAACAGAAAGATGTGATTAATGTTCCCATCGGGTGCTACGATAATTCTGCTTTTTGACACTTGTTTATGCCTTAATCTCTACATATAATATTTTGTGATATACATGAATATTATTCGTTTTTCACTATATATGCAGTTGAAGGCAGAATTATTAATCCTCCTGAATTATTAGCCCCCCTTTATATTTTTTAACCACAATTTCTGTTTAACGGCAAGATGATTTTTTTTCAACACATTTCTAAACACAATAGATTTAATAACTTATTTCTAATAACTTTTATTTTTTATCTTTGCCATGATGACAATATTTTACTAAATTTTTACGAGTAATCAGCTTAAAGTGACATTTAAAGACAGTTAATTAGGCAAATTAGGGTAATTGGTGAAGTGATTGGGGCGTCACGGTCGCTCAGTGGTTTGCTGGTTCTAGTCCCGGCTGGGCCAGTGGGCATTTTTGTGTGGAGTTTGCATGTTCTCCCCGTGTTGTTGTGGGTTTCCTCTGGGTGCTCTCACTGCTCTGTTGACGTCCACAGTCCAAAGAAATGTGTTAAAGGTGAATTGAATGAACTAAATTGGCCGTAGTGTATGAGTTTGTGTGTGAATGAGTGTGTATGGGTGTTTCCCAGTACTGGGTTCAAGCTGGAAGGGCATCAGCTGCGTAAAACATATTCTGGAAAACTTGGCAGTTCATTCCGCTGTGAAAAATAGAGACTAAGCCAAAAAAATTGATATACAGTTAAAGTCAGAATTATTAGCCCCCCTGAATTATTAGCCCCAGTTTTTGTTTAGTGGAGTAAAGATTTTTTTAACACATTTATAATCATAATAGTTTTAATAACTCTAGATTACTAGACATTTTTCAAGACACTTCTATACAGCCTAAAATGACATGTAAAGGCTTAACTGGGTTAATTGGGTTAATTAGGCAGGTTAGGGTAGTTAAGCAAGTTATTGTATAACGATGGTTTGTTCTGAAGACTATCAAAAAATATATAGCTTAAAGGAGTTAATAATTTTGACCTTTAAATGGCTTTTAAAAAATTAAAAGCTGATTCTAGTCGAAATAAACCAAATAAGACTTTCTCCAGAAGAAAAAATATTACCAGACATACTGTGAAAATCTTCATTTTAAACATAATTTGGGAAATATTTAAAAAAAGAAAAAACAGGGGAGCTAATAATTCTGACTTCAACTTTATGTATTTTTCTTATATAATTGTAATATAAATGTTACCTCATAGTAAATGAGTTACACTTTGCATTAAAGCTAAATTAATGTTAATCACATTAACGAGTGAAGGTACGTTATGTATGTACTGTATTGATTTTGTGTTAATCTTTGACATTATTTCCTTAAAATACAAGTGTGTATCGTTGGTTCACATTAGCTTAAGTGTGTTTAATAAACAGGTGGAACATTTGATCAAATAAGCCGTATCTTATTATTAAATGTTAAAATAAAAAGGTTACAATTTATTTATTTATTACTGTTAATTAATATTAAGCAGTTAACCATTTACTAACAGGCACTTGCACACATAGGGCTCAACCTGTGCAGTGCACATGCCCTTTTTTGTCTTTAATAGAAAGTGCCCTTCCAAAATGATCAAAAGTGCCCCCGCTCATGTCATTCAAATCACATGTATGAAAGCATTTAGTTGTGGTGGTTATTCGGGATGTGGTGGGTTTCGTTAAAGGTGTTTTCTGTCACTAATTGTTTAGCCTGCATCAGTGCATTCAGTGTAAGCTGCACGATTAATCATTAAAAGATCGGGACCTCAACACACACGCAACATAAATGATAAATTATGGATTAAATTATTAATCTTTGGAATCGCTGCATTCAAATCTGAAAGCGCAAAAATGTTGCACAAACATAATGACAAAACATAATGTTATCTGAAGTGTGAGATTTGTGAACTGTTACACCTCTATTGTGAGATATGAGCTACATTCATTCATTCATTTTCCTGAGCCACTGTGCCACCCATATCAGCTGCATATCTGACATTAATAAACTGTAGATAATAAACAGTAAACATAAGACACTCCGCTCTATTTCTTTTTTTCTTTCCTCGTGTTGTGCTCCAGGTCTCAATGTCCCAAAGTAATATCCATCCTCTGCTCTGCTGCACTTTTCCTCCACACTTTCTAAACTTACAAAGTTTTGACAGGTAAAAGAGACTGTTCTTTACTCTACTTGTAAGACTTGCTGCAGGCTAAACACGGTGTGAAAAGGCTACCCCAAACTGTCCTTTGGGAACCTTCATTTCAAAGTGATTCTGTGTTGTTTGGAGGTGTTTGACGGTTTGCAACAAGCTCCACTCTAGTCAAACAGCAACAACAATGGATAATAATAAATGATTGATTGATGTTATTAGGCTAAATGTAGGCACTACAACCAGACTTTCTATTTGTCAGCAGGTACATAAACAACCAATCAGATTTTTTCTTGAATAAATATTCATATTCATATTTTTTCTGTGTCGGCCCGCAACTTTCAAGCATTATTAGTTTCGGCATCTGGTCGAAAAAGGCATTGGGTTGTTTGAACCAGACTTTTATTTCAGAACCATATGATGAGGTATTTTAAGCGTTGGGGGCAGGGTTTATTTTTTACGCTCCTCCTTTCATCTTTCTTCCAGCATATTAATGGTTGGAGGGGGGTGACTAAGCATATTTGGGCAAAGCCATCAAACTGACGTCATCAGAGAAGGACTGACATTCCAGAGAGAAAGCAAATGCCTTTTGACTATATAATTCAATGTAAGCAATAACATTGAAGTCAATTGATGAGTGTCATCAACAGACAGCCAATCAGATTCCACAATTTACTGCAAGCAAGATGTTTTACGTTGTTTCGTTTTTTTTTTAACAGTGTTGCCAACTTAGCTTTTTTTTGTGACTTTTCAGACCCTCCTAGCAACAAATTTTCAAAAATGCTACTAGCAACAAATCTAGCGACTTTTTTGGTGTTACTGGAGATTTTAATAGACTCTCATGTGTCCGTTCTGTATTGTTCCTTGGTCTAATATAGTGAAAGAATCAGTTCATTAACCTGAATTTGATAAATGGCTTCTAAAATGTGTGTTTTAGGGGAAAAAAACGTTAGCTAACTAGTGCTATTTCCCTTAACTTGGCTGAAAAGGAGGTCCGATATCCCTTTTTACTTCCACTATCCATTCAGAACGGACCTTAAGGTCACTCTGAAGGCAGTGAAATAATACATTTGTGTCCATTTTTCTTTGCTGATAAGACACAGAGCTGGGTACACAACGTTCCTATGTGATTCAGGCGATACTTAGGTTTCTTCCCACTGCAGCCTCGTTTTCGGGTTTTAAAATGGCGGCTGTATGAAACCAGTCTAGGCTTTTAAGCAAACAAAAGCGGTTGGATGTGATGACCTCAGTAATTTGCAAATTGATGTATGACGTAATCTAGCGACATATAGTGACTTTTCGGGCAGAGCTTAGCGCCTTTTCATTGAAAATAGTTGGCAACTGTTTGTGAAGCCATTAGCCGTAGCTAACCTACAAGCAGACAGACACTATATTGTTTTGTTTGTGCTCATTTCAATATAATAAACAACAACCAAATATATCCCAAATAATTTTAGAGATCATGTAGCATCCATTAATAATTTTTAGTTTAGCATAAATATTCTGACAGAAAAGTTAACCTGAGAATTTACACGGCTACCTAAAATATATTACAAACCCAAGATAAAATTTTATCAGGGTATAACAGGAATGATATCGCCGTTTTCACAGGGTTAATATATTCATTTTAAAATAAGAATAATTTTTTTTATTATAATTAAATAATAACTGATTTCCAAAAATTACATTTTATTAAATGCTAATAGGCTAATTATTATTATTATTATTATTATTATTATTATTATTATTATTATTATTATTAACTGATTTCCTATTTCAACCTTATTGCTAATTTTATTTTATTTTTATTTCAAGACGACCTCGATTATTATTATTTTTGTACATTTTGGAGCTATTTTCACATCAGCTAACCTGGCCATGCAGAAAGCAGAGGTGTGCGCTGCATCACATCGTCCATTCAGCTGTCTTTTCACTGTCTTTTCTCGCGCTCCGGCTCTGATACGGCGGGCTGTGTGTGTGCAGGATTAGCGAAAAATAGCAGTTTTATCGCGCAGGGATTTGGTCTGATTCCGCGCTGTTTCTTGTGTGTCTCCGCTCCGCAGCTCGTCGTTGCTGGGCTCCTGGTCTGCGCGAGGCTGTAGAGCCGTGCCCGTCGACTCCAGCACAACCAAATGCTTGTGTGACAGACTCTCCACCTTCGCCATTTTAGCACGCCTCAATCCCGATGTGGTAAGTCGAGCCATTTCTTTTGTTCCCTTTAATGTCGAAGAACATGAAAAGATGCGTTTGTGTGATATTGCGTGAAATAATGTAGCGCTTTTTTGGTCATAGGCGTCATTGTCATTGTGTATCAACAGATCCTTCTCTCTCTCACTCCCCTCTCTCCTCCTCTCCATGACATGCCAGAGCCATAGACCAGATTTAATGCAAACTATTTAAGATATGTTTCGATCTTTAATGGGTTCTGAGTATATGCACAGGTATTTGAATAAAATGAATGGTTTGTTATGTGTTTATTGCTTGAATGCAGTGCATGCTGGCTTTCATATTGAATATTCCATACATAAAATGTTTATTCAGAGAAATTGCATGTGATTAATGATACTTAATGGCTCAAGATAACCTAAAGATGAGTAGATATTTGTGATGAAATTCATTTTGCTTAAAACACCAGCATTTAATTCACCATATATATGTTTTATATGATGTTGGATTTTGTGCTGTGTGGACATCTCAAATAATTATGAATGCATATATACATATATGTATGCTTTATCATTTAAATGTGCATAGGGGTTTTGTTGGCCTTTCCATCTTAGTCACACTGCATTTGGGCCTCTGAGGATTGTCTTTATGCGGATCTATACGTCGACATCTTTCTTTAAAATGATGAGATCTGCTTTGGTTTAATGCAGGAAAGGGCTGTGTCTTTGTGTAGAATTTTCATTCAGTGTGATTAGTTATTATTAGACTGGAAACTGCCTCTGAAGCAGTTTATTCACCAGTTGCCGTGGAAACAGCATGGGCAGTGGAAGTTCTTAAAGCTATAGAACACGCTATAACGCTCTCTTTGTGCAGCTTGGCCCAGATATGAGCCAGAGAGCATAAAAAAAAAGAGGAAGAGGAAGCTTTACACCCTACTGGCCAAAACAATGGCCACGTCTTCTCAGAATTTGCTCTGCCAAGATGTTTCAGATTGGCTGCCTCAAGAACAGAAGTCACTGTTGTGACACTGTTTTGATTTGGGAAACCATGTGAAATGACATCACAACATAACAGAAGTATGATCACACACAGCATTACATAAAAACTGCAATATGGGGATCAAAAAGGCTATAAAAAGTCAATGTGAAAAGCATTTTGCAAAATACTTTCTTAGGGACTTTCAAATGCTGGGGGTTTTTCATCAATTGGACTGGAAATGGAAGTACTGGAAACTAGAATTTGCTCAAATTGTTCTCAGAATAGCAACTTGGCTATTGGTTTAGTAAAGGGGGTCACTCCGCATCTAGGACAACTTCACAAGTACAGTATAACCCAGTATAATACAGTATAGTGTTAAGTTCAAGACAACAGTTCAGATCATATTAGGGCTGGACAATATATTGTTTTGCATCAATATTGCAATGTGTACATCCACAACAGTCACATTGCAAATGCAGTGTTGAGTCTAGGGATGTCCAGATCCCATCACGTGATCGATAGTTGGGCTGTATCACGCAGTTTCAGACTCTATCAGAATTGGAAGTTACCTCCCGATCAGGACTCAAATGTATATTATATATTCTCATTATGTTTTAACCCTCAGAGGTCTGAGGTTTTTTTGGGGCCCCTAAGATGCTTTGACATGCCCTGACTTTTATGCTTATTTTAGCTACTTATCACATAATATTGGCCTACATGGATTTTTTTTGTATTCAGCACAAACTGTGCTATAATAATATGTGGAAAAAAAATTTGATGAACACCCTGGATCTGTTTTTTTTTTTTTTTTTGCTATTCTTCATTCTTTTTATGTATTATAAAAGTATCGGATCGGGTTTCGATACCGGTAGATACTCAAAATCAACTGACTCAGACTCTGAAAAATCTGATCGGGACATCCCCTGTTGAGTCTGAATTATAGTTGACCAGGAGTTACAGAATTCTATTTAATCACCCTGTTTTTACAGAATAATTTATACAATTTATGCAACAAAAATATTTTTGTCTTGTTTCTAGTCTAAATATCTACAGTACATTTCAAAGCGAAAACAGAACTATTTCACTTACCCCACTGGCAGATCATTTTGCTTGTTTTAAGAAAATACTCTTAATTTTTGACTTATTTCTTCTGAAGGTAAATAGAAAAAAATATTTTTACTTTCTCTAAGGTTTTTTTGATATTCAGACTAGAAATTATACAACGCAAAGTGAGAAAAGCATTTTTTGTATTGTGATTATTCAACATCTGTAGCTGAATACTAATCAGAAACATGGTAAAATATTGCTAAACTATTCATATTGCAATATTTATCACAGAAAAATGAATCACATTTTTTCAATATTGTGCAGCCCTAAATCAATAAAAAATGCAGAAGTTCACTTCAAGAATGAACAAAATGGCATTGATGAGTTGGAAGTTCGGAATTGAACAAAAACAGAGCAAATTGAAAGAGAAAGCACCATCTGTTTTCTTATACTGTATCATACAATATACTCCAGACTTTATTCAAGCTATAGAAAGATACTTTTTTTTCTAATAGATGAATAATGCACTATATTATAGCATAAGGTTGAGTTACAGTATTTATTTAGGATTGTGGATATGATGAGAGAAAGCATCTGTATTTTTAAAGTTGTCATCCAATATACTGTATACTTCATTCAAGCTACAGAAAGGTGCATTTTTACTAATAGATGAAGAATGCTCAATATTTATAGCATAAGGTTGAGTTATGGTAACTATTTAGGATTGTATACTTTTGCTGAAAAAAATTTAATGGTGCTGTGGTGTGCCAGGATTTTGTACAGATTTTAAGCAGTTGTCGCTTGGCACCATGCACTGTCACTACTGGTGCTACCATTTTGCATGCTTTATTATTAAACATTGCATTTTCATTATACTCTTTGAACTGTGCAAATTGAAATGTGAAAGTCACATGGTCATTCTTTATATATGGCTATGTATTTATTTGTAGGAACTGGCTCCCTTTGGCATCCTTCAGGAAATTGCACACAAAAACCTCTAAAAACCGTTTTATATGTGATAGCTTCCAACTAAAATGAGTGTATTTGTCATTTATACTTGGATAAGGATTGTTGTTAAACATTTAGAAAATTTTGCAAAGGTTTTGCACAAATCTACAATTAGAAAAATAAAAAATAATGTGTTTGAATTTTAAAAGATGTGATACGTCTTTGTGTCCGTTTTGTGATCTCCCTAACAGACTAAAACAGAAATATATTTTTAACAATAACTGAAAGACAGATTTGTTGTGAGCTCTGAGGTTATCACTAGATGTTGCGCTTTTGTTTAATCCATCTGTTCAAATTCCTACCTTTTTCTTGCATAGAATTCATGCAAAAAAGGCATATTATTATAAAGAAAACTTGTCATTGTGAGCGATGCAAGGCAAAATATATTTTAGCTCTGCTCATTTCCCATGAAGCAGCATAATCAAGTTGATATCCCATGATTCTTAAATGTAGTAATGCATGATTTGCAATAAACATGAAATATAGTATAGTTTCTACAAATGCAACCAACTACTTTAAATGAATGGATTTGTATTTCTGTATTTTATTTAATTCAATTTCTTTTACAATACGTCACAGATTTGTAGTTTGTTCCCTTATTGAAGCCATTAAATATACACGGTTTTGTTACTTTTTCATCATTTTCATATACTTATTTGTTTCAGTTGAATTTGCAATGTTGTGAATCACCTGACTTGTGTCATCGCTTATAACAAAACTTCCTTTGAAAAAAATGAATAAAAAATTAAATGAATGAAAAAAAGTTAGGCGGGCCCTTTAGTGATGTCAACAGAACAGAATAGAGGAGGATAGAATAGAGGTTCAGAGGAAACATTCCTACATTCTGATTAAAGAACATGTATAAAATTAAAGAACAAACATAAGCTGCATCTGAAATCACATACTTCCCTGCTATGTACAGTAGTCATGTAAAAAACTGTGAGGCCAGTAGCATGTCCGAATTCACAGTATTTTTGAAAAACAGAGAAGTCTACTGTGTACTTGCAAAAAGTTTCTGTCCTATCACAGGATGCCACTCAAGAGAATTCATGAATAGGAGTGAAATAGTACAGAATAAATCGATAGGTTATAGGCATGGGACGATAACTGGTTTCAAGGTTTACCATGGTTTGGAAAGGTCAAGGTTTAATTAATTAATTTATTTATTCATTAATTTTCCTTTGGCTTAGTGCCTTATTTATCAAGAACTACCAACTATTCCAGCATATGTTTTATGAAGTAAAGGTCCTTCCAGCAGAAAACCAGTACTGGGAAAAATGAGAACATGCAAACTCCACACAGAAATGCCAATTGGCCCAGCTGGGACTTGAACCAGCAACCTTCTTGCTGTGAGGCAACAGTGCTAACCACTGAGCCACCGTGCGGCACAGGTCAAGGTTTTAAAACCCCAAAAATTATTATACTATTCCTACAGTAGATGTACGTTTTGTTTTTGTTTTTACGTGTTCTTTATGACTATTTTATTTAGTTTTTTAGGGCAACGGTATCTCCACATCAAAAGCTGCTGGTTTGTCCATGATTCAGCAAACATCTGAAAAACAAATTGCTTATAAACCAACATCCAAGCATGATATGGATCTGAACAGTGCAGTGGTTTACTTTATATTCAAAGAAAGGAAAGATATCCAAAGGCGCCTTACAGATTTGAAAGACATCTGTGGTTTTTAAACCAATAAAGACAGCAGAAGTTAATGATTTATCTTAGTTATTTAGCCTGACACGTTTACTGTTACAAAATATGTTAAATGTTAAATTGTGTTCAATGGGGGAAAAGTTAGAGTAAGAATCACCATACAATGATACCATGAAATCGTGATATTCTTATCCAAGGTTATCATACATCAGCATCTTATATAGGTCTAGCGAATTCCATACATACTACTCACATTCATAGAACATACTTTCCTAACGGTTGTGTAGTAAATTTAAATTTAGATGTACCTATTTAATTAGTATTTAGTATTTATTTA